CATAGGGAGAGCTCAGTCTCTCTCTTCTCCTTCCACTGGATTTACTAGATCTCCACTGACCACATTGCCAGTTGCCTCATGTTCATCCCCACACCGACTTACAGAATTCAACCCTTGCCATTGTGTGATTCTGTGATCTCCATCCACTGCCTGGAGTTCCCCTTGGCTCAACCATGAGCTCCTGAGTCTGCTCAAAACCAAGAGAGAAGTGTACCAGAGATGGAGAAGTAGAAGATTATCCATGGAGAACTACAAGGGTATTGCCAGAGCATAAAGAGATGCAGTTAAAAAGAACCCAAAAGCTCGGCTTGAATTGAAACTGACCAGAGATGCCAAAAATCACAGGAAAGGGTTCTTCAGGAATGTAAACTACAAGCAGAAGCAGAAGGAAAACATAGGCCCACCGTTAAAGAGAAGTGAATCAGTCACCAATGTTGCTAAAAAGGCAGAGGTTGTCAACACTTTCTTCACCTCTGTCTTTACCAAGACTGTTGTGTCCCAGGCTTTGGGAATGAAATTCCAGGGGGATCCAAACATAGACCCACCATCAGTGAAGGAAGAATCATAGAACCATAGAATCGTCTATACTGCAAAAGACCTTTAAGATCATCAAGTCCAACCGTTAACCTAACCCTGCCATCCCACCACTAAACCATGTCCCTAAGCACCTCATCTACCCTTATTTTAAATACCTCCAGGGATGGGGACTTGACCACTTCCCTGGGCAGCCCATTCCAGAGCATGACAACCCTGTCTGTGAAGAAATTTTTCCTAATGTCTAACCTAAACCTGCCCTGGTGCAACTTCAGATGATTTCCCCTCGTCCTATCGTCTGTTACCAGGGAGAAGAGGCCGACCCCAACCTCGCTACAGCCTCCTGTCAGGCAGTTGTAGAGGGTGATCAGGTCTCCCCTCAGCCTCCTCTTCTCCAGGCTAAACAACCCCAGTTCCCTCAGCCTCTCCTCTTAAGACTTGTGCTCCAGACCCCTCACCAGCTTTGTGGCTCTCCTCTGAACATGCTCCAGCAATGCAACATCTTTCTTGTAGCGAGGGGTTAGTGTGTGAATTATTAGAGTTAGTGTGTGAATTATTACAGGAGCTTGATCCCTACAAATCAATGGGCCCTGACGTCATCCGCCCGAGGGTGTTGAGAGAGCTGGCTGACATCATTGCGAGGCCACTATCCAGAATTTTTGAGAAGTCATGGAGATGCCCCAGAGGACTGGAGCAAGGAAAATGTTACCCCTATCTAAAAGAAAGGATTGAGGGAGGATCCAGGTAATTACAGGCCCATTGGTCTTAACTTCAGACCCCGGGAAGGTTATGGAAAAAATCCTCCTGAAGGCCATCACAAGTCAAATGAAACACATGATTGGGAAAAGCCAACACAGCTTCACTAAGGGCAGATCATGCCTCACAAACCTGGCGGCCTTTTACGACAAAGTGACCTGCTTGGTTGATCTGGGGTGAGTGGTGGACATGGTCTACCTGGACTTCTCCAAGGCTTTTGATACGCTTCCCCATGGCCTCCTCCTGGAGAAATTGATGCATTATGGCCTGGACAAGTGGCCTTTGTGGTGGGTGTGGAATTGGCTGGCAGGCAGTACCCAAAGGGTGGTGGTAAATAGCTCTTTTTCAAACTGGCAACCCGTCACAAGTGGGGTCCCCCAGGAGCTGATATTGGGCCAAATGTTACTCAATATCTTCATAAGTGATCTGGATGACGGGATCAATGCAGCCTGATGAAGTCTTCAGACATCAAGAAACTGAGTGGGGGAGTAGACACTCTGTAAGGGAGAGCCACCCTGCAGGAAGATCTGGATAGGTTGGAAGAGTGGGCTAGCAAGAACCTTATGAAGTTCAACATGGACAAGTGTAAGGCCTTGCACCTGGGAAAATACAGTCCAGGAGTGCAGCAGAGACTGGGGTCCACCCAGCTGGGGAGCAGCTCTGTGGAAAGGGATCTGGGGGTCCTGGTGGACAGGAAGCTCCATAGGAGTGAGCAGGGTGCTGCTGCGGCCAAGAAGGCCATCAAGATGCTGGGTTGCATCAACAAGGGCATCACCAGCAGAGATAAAGAAGTCATCATCCCACTCTGCTCAGCGCTTGTCAGGCCACACCTGGAATCCTGTGTACAGTTCTGGTCCCCACTCTACAAAAAAGATGTGGACAGGCTGGAGGGGGGCCGGAGCAGGGCCCCCCAGATGACCCCAGATGTATGAGGGAAGGTTATGAGAAGCCTCTCTCAGCCGTATGAGGATGGGCTGAGAGAGCTGGCTTTGTTCAGCCTAGAGAAAAGGAGGCGCAGAGGGGATCTCATCGCCACATACCAGTACCGAAGGGGTGGTTACAAGGAAGTTGAAGACTCCCTTTTCACAAGGAGTCACACGGAAAGGACAAAGGGGAATGGGCACAAGTTGCTCTTGGGAAGATTCCAACTGGACATGAGAGGGAAATTTTTCATCATGAGAACAGGAATAATTTCCCCAGGGGAGGGGTTGACTCCACCACATTGGACACTTTTAGGACTCAGCTGGACAGAGTGCTGGGCCATCCCATCTAGACTGTTCTCTTGCCTAGAAAGGCTGGGACAGGTCATCCTAGAGGTCCCTTCCCACCTTGGATTCTATGATTCCGTCGTTTGTGCTACTTGTCATATAGGACTTGTTGTGGAGGACTCCATACAGCAGCCTTCCACCTCCAATGCTATCTCACAAGATGACAGGACCTGTCAGTGAACAGGGCACATTGCTTCTCATTTTCAGGCAGTTTATTTGCATCTCACTCCTAGCATCCATCTTCATTAATGAGCATAGGAACTCGCATGAAGGTGCTTATTTTTTGTACAGCTGAATTGAGGCAAGAGGAATCCCATCTCCTGAGTGTTTGTGGCAGGCATGGGAGGGAGCTGAGTCACCTTCCTCACCCAGGACTACACACCCAGGATGAGGTGCCTCACTTGACTAAGAACTGGGAAAAGGGGTTTACTTCCAAGTCACTGTATTGGTGTCCTGTCTAACGATGGGTCAAGGAAAGGAGATTCTCATGCTAAAACCTTTTCCTCATTGGAGAAATTAAAGTGCTGGGAAAAAGCGTCACACCCCAGAAGAGGGGAGAAGATGACTTCACTCTGCTTCACAGTACCCCAGGGACACCTGGAGGGAGGGGACATGGGGCTGGTCCTCTGCAGCTGAGCTGGGCTGGGCTCCTGGGATGGAGGGAGCTCATGGCAAGTGGCAGCGCTGCCGAGAGACAGCTCTGCCCAGGAGCAGCTCGTCTGCAAAGCGCAGCAGGGCTGAGGGCGCTGCCTGCAGGCACCTAGGGGAGAGGAGCGAGGCAGGGAGAGGTTAAAGGCAGTCTGGGGTGGGAGGATGCTGAGAATTCACCGGAGGAGAATTCTTCACAGCCCTTGCCACAGTAAGTCTCTGGCTGCAGGGCAATGCAGCTGCAATTCCTTGAGGGTTCTCCAAAAGCTGGCACATCCCAGAGATTACAGGATCTGTAAGTACAACTCCCAGGGCTTCTCTGGTGTATAGAGGATGAGGACGTGCTGCAGAGAAGGGACTCCCTGCTGCACCATCATAGGGACAGGGCATGACGGCTGCCTTCTCCCTGGGAGGGCTGCAGGCTGTGAAGGTGGGTGTGCAGGCAGGGGTGCCCAGGGCTGTCCTTCCCAGCAGGGTCCCTGCACCGTGGGGGGCTGTGTGCCGGGACAGGGACTCTGCTGCCTGCCAGGGTCAGCACTCAGCCTGCCTGGGGAGCTCCCTGGGGTTGTGCAGGGAGAAGCTGTGGGTGGAAGGAGTGACCCCCATCAAGTCAGGGTCCTTCTGCTGTTGAGAGGGTGCTGTGTGGGTCAGGCTTGCTTAGAGCTGCACATCACCCCCAGAACATTTGCAATAGGCTGTCTGAAGGAGCAGATCAAGGCAGGGTTTACTATAAAGATAAGGATCTTTCCTGAGTCTGCCTTTGCATTTCCTTTTCCAGAAGGTAGTGAAGGGGAGGTAAAAGGATAAAATGAAAATGAACTCTGAAATTTTAGCAAGTCACTGAGACTCCTGAACTGCAACTTTGAGTGATCAATATGACTTAAGAGAGTAAAGGCACTGCTCAAGTGCCCTCAGCCACTCTTCTTCTTAATGGCCAGCACCAGCATCACCTCTGATTGACCTGTCAGGGTTCTTAAACTCTGAA